CTTTGGAGCCCTAAACTCTAAACCCGAGCGGAGGATGCTCCAAAAAAATGAACGAAAGATTTTACAGCAACGCGCCTGAAGTGCCCGTAAACAAACTAGTTTGGCGATTGGGTTAGGTCCTTCCCCCTAATTATTAGAGTAACAGTCATCGCAGGAGATAATGGGAGTTGTTCTAGCCCTTTGATAAAGCCCCCTTATGAACAGTTCGTGTAAGGGGGAAATGGCCCAACGATTAGGGTTCTCATCAACATCCTCACCCTGGATCGCGATGTCACAACAACCATGCCCCCCCCCCCCCCACGTAGCCCGGAAAAATCAGGGAATCCAACATTGAAACAAACTTACTCAGCTCTACGGGGTGTACGTCACGCCTGTATCATCCCTCCATCCCCTACCATGCGAGGGCTTTGTAGATAGAGGCTGAACCAGAAAAATGGGATCCAGAAAATACCCTAGGCACAAGAACTATACAGTCTTACTCAATTGTAGATTGAAGTATACCTGATGACTGCCTGGCGGTTAGTAGGGTAAACGGAAGTTAACACCTACATAATCCATGGAGCCACTGACGAACTGGGGCTCTGCAGCCGCGGACGTCAACTTCTTTTTCCATACCTTCTTCTTTTGGCCCTTCTTGCCAGCTGCCTGGTGGGGGTAAACGCCGGCTTCGTTCATCAAAACGTCAGCCCCGTCGCCGATGGATGAGGAGGCGTCAGTTGGAAGGCAATGCTTCGAGGACCAGGTCAACCTCTTCCAGCAAGTCGGCCCATCGACAGGGCAGCTCTGACTCCTGCCACTGTGCACAGTGGGCCCTTCCGGTCCTTCCAGGTTCGTGGGACCTCAGGGATCTCCGGGAAGGGCTTCTTGACGTTCTCGGGAGGTGGCTCCAGCACTGCCACGGCGTCCGCGGACTTTCCCTTGTTCCCTACTTTCCCCTCAGTAAGATGATGAAACTACTGAGGCGGACTCCTTGAGCTTTTCCGCCAGTGCCAACTGCTCACCACCCTGGCGGAGGTCGCGCAGTCTGTCGGGCTTAAACTCATCAATAAAATTTAAAGCTGAGGTGCTCATAGGGAATACACAACATTTTCAATTTGCGCCGCAGCTACATGTTGCCTTCCCCTGGAGTATGATAGCAGTCAGGAACAAATTTGGAGCTCATGAGAAACTGTTGATGCAGGAAGTCTTGCACTCCCGACCCCCCACGGTCCCTAAACAGCAGCAGCTCCTGGGATGTAGCGCATGTCCCTTTCTCCGTGTGCCGGCATCTTGGTTCCCTTTGGGTGAGCCCTTTTAATGACCTCCCCTTCGCAGGCGCTGTATGTGTTATTCTCAAAGTGATGGGCCCCTCTTAGTTAATTTAGTCACAGATAACACCGCGGCTCTTAAGGGGTACCAATTTGGACCGTAACTTTTTGGAATTACCCATGTGCATAAAAGTTTTCCGACACACGCCTGGTCCGATGAATCCTCATCATGAGCTCCCCATGCATTATTATGCAGGGTTATAAGCACCCTAAGCAAGACCTAAGAGAGATATAAGCTAAAGGACCAAAACGGGCAAATTTAACTTGCTCATGCGCAGCTTCTATGCCGAGGCTTCGCCTTTCCTCGAGTAGAAACCCTAAACCCTAAACCCCATTATAGTATGTTTCTATTTTCTTTTCCATTATCCCTAGATAAACCCTAGACAACCCCTATAGTCCCTGTAGTTTCCATTTTCTTTTCCGTTACCCATATGGGTATTGAAGTTGGGGTTCCTGTCTGTCTTTGACTCGGTTTAGGGTTTAGGGTTTAGGGCACATGGCGGAATGCATCACACTTCCTACAAATCCTACCTTCTGTCTGCACCTGAGGCCCTAAATCTTGAGCTCTACAAACCCTAGACCCTACTCCTGTATGCCTATACACCACATCCGAGATCCCAACTCAAAGACCCAAAAACTGCCCTTGAATAGTGATGGAGGGGGCTTACTTCAATGAAAGAAGGTCCCACGTGAGGGAAATTCATTTAAAAATGAACTTACGCAGTACGTTGTGTCCCATTTTAGGGAGACCTCCTGGAAATTCTTGGGAGTTGAGAAAGGAAAGGGATCGCGACAGTAGCCTCCATATGACCCACAAGATACTGCCTACAATGGCCCGTGCGACGCATTCCTCCATGCCACGGTCATCATCAGTGAATAGAGCTCTGCGCACTGAGTCCCTTCCCCCAATATAATCCGCTGATATAGACTACTCCCTGGATCTAAGTATCTTCCAGTACGTTTTCTTAATGTCGGGAGCGGTGTGGAAGTGGGGTGATATCCGGAGCCAGAGGTTGAACCCTCTGAAATATGCTGTACCCCATTCACCCATTATAGCAACTTACTGCAACCCCCCTTGAAGCCCTAATTTGTAGCACCAGCATCGGCTAGAAGTTACACTCGCAAATCCTCACATCAGACCCCTCCCGCCCCTGATAATACTATGATGAGCGGGTGGGTGTCAGGGGGGATCACATCCTCACCCTTAAAACCCTACAACCCACCCCCTGAACCCCAATCATGAAACCCTACAACCTACACCTTGAGCGGCCCGTTCCACGCCTGCTTCGCTTGTTGCGCTGCCAGCCCCTCGGCTGTGCGTGTGAGCGACTCTTCGGCGGTGCTGGCGCGTGTGCTCTCCTGTTCTCAAGTTTCTTAGGCTTCCGTTTAAGGTTGTGGGCATAAAGTTTACGGGGCTACCTGTAATATTCTCCGGGCGGAGAGTCAGCGCAGTTTTGGGGTCTATGGTCTATAATGCTTACTTTATGACCCTGCAGTTCCGCATTGGTCAGGGCGGGAGCTGCCTATACAAGGGGATGTAGCACATTACCTAGTTCGCAGGTGCTCAAAGAAGTCTATGGTGATTAAGTTTTGGATTGAAACCCTGCCCTAAACCCTAAACTCTAAACCTCGCGCCCTTAACTTTATTGAGGTTTGTGGGTTGAGGCTTAGAGCCAACCTTAAAACTCCATTTGCGTTGTGGGACAGCCTGTAAAACCTTGGGATCGCTGCCTGGGATTCAGGATCTAGGTTTAGGGTATAGGGTCTAGGGGCTTTCGGCTCCCAGGATTCAGTTTTCAAAGACAGTTGCAATTGTCCAGGTGCTTGTGAATGTTTCCGGGGCTTGCGAAAAGCTAGTCGTTTAATTTCAGATGCTTTTGCAGGAGCGCCAGAAGGTTTGCAATGGGAGGTATACAGAGCTTACGCTATAGCATTTTGAAATGACAAACAGGATATACAGAGCTTACGCTACCCTAAACCCTAACCCCAAAACTCTGACACTGGTAGCTCAGGTAGATCAAGGGTCTGGAAAGGAATCTGGCAACCCTAAACCCTAAATCCTAAATCCTAAACCGCTACAGGCGGGGCCTTGGCGGTCTAGCTGTCTAGAAGGAAGCTTGTGTGTGGACCTTCCGTGCTAGGGAGTTGTTCAGCACGACTGAGGTCCTATATGAATCAATCCAACTTAATAATCTCTATGATACTTCCCTATACAACTTATATAGCCCCCGATTTAAACCTCCTATAAGGAATGTAGACTATGGTTCATACAGGAGTGCAGGGCGAGTACTGTCATTCTCTAACTACTACACGTAACCCTAGGGATCGCAACGTACCAATATAACCCTAACCCCATCAGCTTATATGACCTAAACAGAGAGCCGAGGTACCCCTTAACATTACTAGGTAGTCCCCACCCTAAACCCTAAACCCCTAAACCCTAAACCCCTAAACCCTAAACCCCAAACCCTAAACCCCTAAACCCTATTACCCTATAAGCCCCAGAGGTCCCCATCAAGGGTCCCTCCTCAAACCCTCAGATTGCAGGCCTGCGCCAGCAGTTCCTCCAAGGCGGTTGCACGTACATCGGCAGCCTGAAGAGCCTCCTGGCCAAAGCTTGGGCGGAAGGGCTTAGACTTTTGGATCTTTAGGGTGTAGGGTTCTTGGCTTAGGGTTTAGGATTTCAAGTTTAGGGTGTAGGGCTCTTGCTTTAGGGTTTAGGGTTTAGGATTTCGAGTTTAGGGTGTGGGGTAACCCTAAACCCTATACCAGCTTGAGGGAAAGCAAGGGAGGGTGTGGAGCAGCCATTCGGGAGGTTCTGCAGGGCTTCTACATGGAAGTGTGCACACAATGTAACCCTGCGTCTAGGATCCTGCGTTTAGGTGTCTCGGCTTTTGGGTGCGACCTCTAAACTCTAGACCCTAGGTTCTAGGAGATTGGAAAAGTCCAGCAAGTGTGAAAGAGGCGCTGAGGAACTGGGCTGAGTTGCACTTCTTCCGTCAAGTGAAGGCTGCCTGGTTAATTTTCCAAAATAGGAGGGCCCCAGCACAGCCCCCAAAATCTAGTCCTTATTTAGGGACCCCCCAAAAATACCCCGAATTTTGGGCTCTGCCTGTATCAAAGATGCCAGCAAAGATGAAAACGTAAGGAAGCAGTGGCAGAATACGAACAACAGTCTCAGGAATGAACCACGTGGCTTAGGGCTTAGGGTTTAGGGTTTTAGGGTTTAGGGTTTTAGGGTTTAGGGTTGTAGGGTTTAGGGTTTTATGGTTTAGGGTTCTAGGGTTTAGGGTGCAGTGCATACTGGAAATCCCAACGCTGACAGCAACCGGAATTATCACGGTGGCCATAAGGCCTCCGATAATGAGCCCAATGAGACCCTAAACCCTAAACTGGGTTGCCGTTAAGGAACCCAAACTGATTTACCCCAATGGGTATATATAGTAATTAATAATGTGGTTTCCCCAGTATAATAATAACTTGAATTAAGTTCCTTGCCAGCAACCTAGTAAACTTGCCTATGCTTGGAAAATAAGGCGATCAGGGAGGTTGGATTTACCTGGCTTCTGAGATCCCTGGTAAGAACTATGGTAAAATGAGGTACCCTATAAAAGCGGAAGGTTACCAACTCAGCAACAAAGCGTCTGGATTGTTCAGGGCGTTTGGGTTGGGCCTTATCCCTAGACATCCACTCACGACCCTGGGTCCCAAAACCCCACATCCTAGGCCCTGGTACCACATGCGACCTTGAACTCGAGAGTCTTTGGCTTCTGGGATGTCTAGGGCATGGGATTGTTTGGCGGTCCGCGCCTGTGCGACCGTGATCTGCTTTTGCAGATCGACCTCCGCCAAGTGGCTTTCCTCTTTGCGGAGGCACTCACTTGGCGCAGTGGTTTTTGGTGGAAACAAGTAGTAGGATCAGATTCTTATTCTATATGGCTACAACCTTGCAATCTGGGACCATCTTATATTCATTCGAACACCAACCTCTGCGTGCAGATAGTACACACCCTGCAACTCTGATACTAACTTTGCCCCACAATGTATGGTCTGTATGTGGAATGTTAGGCGTTTGGGGTGTTAAATTTTTGTATGAAGGGATTAGACGGTTTTCCCTCAACATCATAAAGCCCCCTATCCTACCCACTGATACCGAATATTTCAGCGGATAATCTAGGAAACCTTAAATCAAAAGGTTACCAAGTAGCATCCTTTCCAGGAATGGGGGCTTACGGCTGCTAGGGTGCAGCGTGTAGGCTCAGGAGTTTTGGGTGAAGGGTTTTGAGATTCAGGGAACAGCAATTTAGGACAAGTCCCCTAAATCCTGACGCCTTGCCCCTAAACCCTAAAGCCTAAACCCTAGGGGTTTATGGTTTAGGGCTTAGGGTTCCTAAACCCTAAAGCCCAAACCCTAGGGGTTTAGGGTTTAGGCCCAACCCCTTTTCTCAACTTTCCTGCCTGGATTTTGGCGCCCAGCTCCCCCACGTTGGCTTGGAGATTGCCTGGGTCTGCTGACGCTATGTCGTAAGGGCCACATTACATTCCATAATATTTTGACAGAAAGCCACAATATGAGGATATGATGCGCATTTCAGCCCATTGTATTCCGACAGATAGCCATGCAAGATTATGATGCTATCCTGGCTCCAAGTCTAGGATTCAGGGGTGGTACGAACTGATTTGGGCCTCTGGCCTCGAAATGGCGTCGGATTAGGCAGCGGCAGTAATCTAAACCCTGAAAGCCTGACTTTCAACCAGAGACCTTGACCCCGGAACCTAAACCCTACATTGTAAGGGTTTCAGGTTTTGCCGGAGCAAGACCCGGGAAACTCTCCACTCTTGGTCAAGGTCTTCGACGGTCATGAATCGTCAGGAAACATCTTCACATACGGGCCCCATACTCCAAAATCTTCGTAGCCAAACAGAAAACACCCCCCATCCATTCTCATGTATCTAGGTAAATTCAGTCAAACCCCTCCAGAACCCTAAGCCATGAATCCACCATCCCACATCATTTCTTGGAAGGTCTGCTGGTTCAGGTCCATCGCAACCTCTTCTTCACGATCATCAATTGTAAATCTGACCCCTGAATTCTGGATGCCTGAACGTTAAACACCAAAGTCTCACACCTCAAAAACCAAAACCCTGAAGCCTAAGCTCTTACCAAACCCTACGGCCCCAACATACCAGCCCAAAGCCGGAAAGTTTAACTGCAAACCCTGATCATACCCAACCTGATCTAACAAGGAAACTTTGTGCAATTCATCAAGATCCCCTTTATCTTGCTGGGGGTTAGAAGGGAATAAAGGACTATGGTTTATGCTACAGGGATTATGTAGGGATTATGTTCCCTCATTCCCTACTGACCACCAGTAATTAAGCTATTGCAACCCTTAACCCTAAACCCCTAAACCCTAAACCCTAAATCTTAAACCCCAAACCCTAAACCCTAAAACCTGCCATAAAGTCGCCAAACATTTCATCCTGAGCCAACTTTGCCTCTGCCTGAGCCTGCATGGTACTTAGGGGTTCAGGGTTTAGGGCTCAGGGTTTAGGGCTTAGGGCTTAGGGTTTAGGGCTTAGGGCTTAGGCTTTAGGGCTTAGGCTTTAGTTTTTTTATGGCTTTAGGGTTTAGGGCTTAGGGTTTAGGATTTAGGGCTTCGGGTCTAGGCTTTAGGGCTTAGGGTTTAGAGGGTTTAGGGCTTACCTGGGTATCCCAACGACCATAA